TTTTGTGAACTGCAGGATGTTTAGTCCTTACGGCTATCGCACACCTACTTGTGATGACCAAAAACTGTCTTCAGACATTGCCAAATATCCTGAGGAGAGGGTCAAACTGAGAATAGCCAATCTATAGGATAAATGGCTGGAAGTGGATAAGAGTCTTTTTTTGTGCACATGCAATTTTTGTAGTCTTTGTCACCTACAACACAACATGAAATTTACAGAAATGTGCACAGATCATAAGTGTACAATTGTGTTCACTTTTCACAAACAGCCCAGAAGTATGAGCAGCGCATTAGGAAATAGAACATTTTTGGTAGTTCCAGGAGTTCCCCATTGCCATTTTTCATTTATTCACCACTTGCAATAACCACTGTCTTACCTAGTTTTGTCCGTCTCTAAACAAAATACCGTTTGTGTATTGGTTATTGATGGATGTTGACCAGTTGATCTCCGACGAGGCTTATTTTTGAACATTTCATGACAGTATAGGAAAGTGCCTGCTTCCCTACGTCTTCCTCCAGTCTTTCTGATTTTTCTAATCTGAGTGTACTATTGATGGATGTTGACCAGTTGATCTCCGACGAGGCTTATTTTTGAACATTTCATGACATATAGGAAAGTGCCTGCTTCCCTACGTCTTCCTCCAGTCTTTCTGATTTTTCTAATCTGAGTGTTTAAGAAATTAGTCCATTGTAGGTAGAACTGAATTTCTTTCATTAATGAGTTTGAGCCTTTTGTCATATATTGAAAGGCCAGTGTGTTCTCTTTTCTGTGAACTGTCTTCATCTATCTGTCTGTCTGTCTGTCTGTCTGTCTATCTATCTATCATATATATATATATATATATATATATACACACACACACACACAATTATATATATATAATATATATACACACACACATACACATATATATACACACGGCTCTGTATTAGTTCTCTCTTCCCTCTTAATAAGTGAGCACACGATGCAGTGGGTTAAAACAGTGCGTTCTTATTATCTCTTAGGCTCTATGTGTAGGGGATGTGTGCATGGCTTTGCTGGTTCTTCACAGTATGGAGGAGTTGGCTTCAGGTCTGCAGTCTCACGTGAAAGCTCAGCCGGGGAAGGATTTGCTTCCGAGCTCATTTGGCAGCTGTTGGCAGCACTCCATTCCCTGAAGGTTGTTGGACCAGGGGCCTCAGTGCCTTTCTAGCTCCTTGGTCAAAGGCTGTCCCTAGTTCCTTGCCTTATGGTCCTTTCTAACATGGTGGCTTGTGCTATCCATGCAGGCAAGCCAAGGAAGCAATGCAAACTTTCCTAGGAAGACAGAAACCACGATCTTTTATAACCTCAACATAGGTGTGACTTTTCATCATTTTTGCTGCATTTTATTGGTGAGTGTGGTATTCGGGAAAGACAAATGCAGGAAGCAGTGGCTTCATGTTGCAACCCCTGTCCCAGTGGCATCATCGTGAAGAACTCCCCCTAAACTGTCCAGTGCCGTCCCAGAGGCAGGGAACTTTGTTTAGTATCTAGCTCTGTGTTCCTACAGATATGCAAGTGGAAAAGCAGAGACTTCACAGTGGTTTATCAAACACTTCGGATGAGTTGGAAACCTTTGAGTTTCTTGCAGATATATCACCAAAGAAGGCTTTTAGCTAGTAGATCCCTCAGAATGCTCAAAGAAGAAAAGAGGGAAGATGAGCTGAAAGAGGATGATGAAAATAATAATGAATGCAAATTGTAAACCGAAAAGGAAATGCTTTAAAAATCATTCTGGTGAGGACTCACCTGGCTTATCATCACTGCTTTGAAGGAAGCAAGACAGTGTAGTCAACTTTACTGTCATGGTTCTTTGTCATTTTACTTGGAACAAGACTTTCCTTTTCAATCTGAAACTGCGATCTTTCTTTTCTGCACCGGTTCTTGAACTCATACTCAAATGCCCTTTCTGTGCATTATTTCAGTTCTCTTCTTTAGGATGCCTGTGTTTCTGAGCCAGCTTGGGCTCTCTTACTACCACAGTTCACCTCCTAGGGCTGTTGTGAAGCTCAGGATGATGGAAATCAGGGGACTTTGTCATTGTAATGAATAATAAATGCAGACTGTCAATCTAGAAAACAGCGAAGTGACAGGCGATCAAGTTGTGTGTCCTACTTTCCCATTAGTGAAAATGAATCCCAGCCAGGGTGACTGCTCGGCTTGGGCACACGGGACAATGCTGGTGGCCAACCCTGGGACAGAGGCTACACTAAAATCTCCTTTCTGCTCATCCCCCTTTTCTTTGGTTTTAAACTGAATGCAAACGTGGTCACTATCCTTACTTTCGACACTATAGTTTTGTCTTTAAACTTTATATAAATGAAATCATACATTATTCTATCGTTCTGTTATGTGGTAAAGCATCTCTTCTGTTTGATGGGCATTTGGGTAGTTTGACACTTGAGACTAACACAAATATTGTCGGAATGAACATTCGTGATGGTGTCTTTGAGGGACATATACACACATTTCAGTACATATTTAGCAGTGGAATTGGTAGTTACTAGAATGCTCATGTCTTCAACTTTACTGAATACGAACAAAGAAGTTTCTAAAGATATTAAACTGGCTATTAGGTTAGAATCTTGCCATTAGTACACAAGAGGTTGTTTTGGGCCACATTCTTCTCAATACTTGGAATTCTCCATCTTTTTTATGCTAGCCTTTCTGGTGGTGTGCAGAGATAGATTAGATGGATGGACGGATGGATAGATGGATAGATGGATGTATGTGGTTTTATTTTATCTTTCTGTGATGACAAGAGACTGGCTACATTTTCATATGTTTACTGGCCATTTAAATATCCTCTTTCGTGAAATGTCTGCTCGTGTTTTACCCACTTTTCTACTGACCCTTTTTCTTTTAATTACATGAGTTTTTGTTTTGCTATTTATTGTATTGTAGATACAAACATTTTGCTGGTTCTATGTTATGAATATGTCCCCTATGTATTAAAATGTCTCCTCTCATTTTCTTAGTTATTTTTGATCAACAGAAGTTTTTAATTTTAAGGTACTATAATTCATTCTTGTCCTTTATGAACTTTTTGTATTGTTGAAGAAATCTCTTACCTAACCTCATTCTCCTATTTTTTTTTTTGGTACTGGGGATTGAACTCGGGTCCTTATGCTTGCAAGGCAGGCCACCGAACCGCTGAGCTAAATCTCTGGCCCTCATTCTCCTCCTCTTTGATGATTAGAAAAGTTTTGTGAGAAATCACTATCTATAAAAATGCATACCACCTTCTTCCTTTCTCCCCTGATGTGGCTGTTCTAATCCCAAGTAAGCCTACCTCATAAATCCCCATCGTGAGTCAGCCTTGCCTCCTGAACACGTCTGTGCATAGGAGCAGCCCTCCCGAAGAAATGTGAGGTCGGAGTGCAAGGAAGCAGACGCTGAACGGGTGCAGTCCGTCTGTGGGACCAGCTGTGCTCTCGCTGCTCTCATCCTCGTGCCGTTCCACTGAGAGCTGAACAGTAACGGGAACGTGTAGACTCTTCCGGACCAAAGTGTACAACATTCCACTTGAATCATCAGCTTCTTTAAGGGGACAAGTCATCATCTTTATACTTGAAAAATGAGAGAGAGCCGTGGGCTTGTCTTAGCTCGTTGTAACAGCACCCTCCAGCTCTGTTTTCCTTCCCTTTCTCTGATATATTTTTGTCCCTTCGAGCGCTAAGCATTTTTTGACTGGAGACAGCACAGTTGCACATCTATTCTATGCAGATGTTTGAGATTGCTTGGAACAGCAGCCCTGCAAACACCCTTTGCCAGACACACAGACAGCGCTCTGCCACACCAGAGGCCTTTTCACCTTTACCTTGCCCCAAGGACACCAGCAGATCCCTGGCCACACCCGGGCAGTGAGGTCTCCCCACTGCAGCTCAGGCCTTGAAAGACATGATTGGATTTGGCATCCAGGAAGCCCTGTGTCTTTAAAAGATCCTTAAGTACATCTGTTTCCAATTTTCAGGCCGTGAGGCAAGGATTTGGGTGCAAGTAGTTTATCTGGGAAGCAATCCCAGGAAGTACTGTTTGGAGGTGGTGGGGGGACAGAGTCCAGAAAGGTGCATGGAGGGGTGGGTGACTATTGTAGGCAGCAGGGCCACCCTGCCGGACCCTCCGAGGGGACGTGCAGAGCAGGCCTCAGAGTCATCTCCCCAAGCAGGGCAGCAGTCATCCAGCTCCCACCGGACGGTTGATGGTGCTGTCTACACACATCCTTTGGAGGAGGACTCTGGCCATGTCTGCTCCAGTGATTTTGATTAATTGTTTCATTCTAAGCCCTTTTTCATGTCCAACTTTCTTATTAATACAGTTGGGAGTCTGTGTTTTAAAATGCCTGTTCCTGTTATTTTAATTGTACATTCGTGGATGTTGCAAAATTCTCTAGGTGGAATACTGTAAAGACAGTGTGCACAGCTGGGCTAGAAACCTGGCCAGGAGAATGGAATGCTGCTTCTGTAACCCTACAAGGACTGAGCCCTCACTGTCCTTTGAGACCTCACTCCAGGCCTCCTGAAGGCTGCCCACCCTTCTGGGCTGCAGAGCTGCTGCTTCCAGCAAACCCTGTCGGATGGGGTATAGTTGGAGCCGTGTCTTCTGCACTCACTCTCTGCAGCCTGTAGATATTTGCCTTGTCTCTCACGACATTAAATGAAAATGAGCTGTTTACAAATGGGTCCCCAGAGCAGAGGCTGGTACACTGACACTTCCTAGGCCTGCCGTGCTGGATTCTGGATCAGCTAAATTCCTTTCAGATAAGCCCTCCAAAGGAGTAAATGTGCAGAATTTCATTGCACCAAATGAACCAGGAGAAATGAGGTTCCTGTTTTCTGGACATCCAGACTCACAACCCTTCCTTTTCCCCACATTTCAAATCCCAAATCTAAACTCTACTTGCCCCGTGTCCCCACCCCATCCCTGGCCTGTGCCCACGAGTGTTCTTGGCAGTCATAGCTCCTTCCCTTGTCCTGCAGCATCTGATGTGCGCTGGACTGTGGTGCCTGGTAGAAGGAGACACGTCCTGCAAGACCAAGCTGGACCCGCCCCTGGATGGCACCGAGTGTGGGGCAGACAAGGTAACCCCCAGCCTCCCATCGTCGGAGAAGCATCACACACCTCCGAGAGGCGCTGGGCACCTGTCCTGCTGGGTCATTGCCCAGGGCACTGTGCAGATGCACACGGAGCCTGTTTTCTTTTAAAGATACAAGAATTGTCACTTGATATTTTAGATCAGTTCCTTTTGTCACATAAATGAATTTACTTAAAAGGAAAAATTTTAATCAGTACACTTTAAATGAAAAGCCCATTTCATATGCCATTCACAAAAGGTGATCATAAATGAACCTAAGGAGAACATTTTTATCCGGTTCTAGTTAGAGGCCAAGGGAGCAAGGCGTCCTCGTGACTGGGAGAGATCCTGAGTTAACGAGGAGAGCCATTCAGGTCCAGGCACAACACGGCTTTCTCATAGTCTGTTGCTTGCCTCCGAAGAGTTAAGTGATACTCCATTCTGACTCCGTGATTGGAAAGTGCTGTATCACTCACTTGGGAGAAAACTGAGGTGCACCCATAAAGAGCTGTCCGTGGCATTTCTAAGCACCAAACCCCACACTGAAGTTCTGACCTCAGAACCTGGAAATGCTGCACCTTAACCTTAAGCAGTTTGTAGGAATTTGAGGTCCCTCCACAAGCCATGTGGATTAATCCTTTTTCTGTGATTTTAGAAAAATCCCAACGTGGGGTGGGGGCCAATTCCATGTGGAAGTTTAAGGCAAAAATCCAAAGCCCGGAGGGACATAAGTGTCAGTAAGTAAGGAATGTCAGTAGAGTTAGCAAGTGGACTTCTCCCCCGAACAGTCGACTTTTGTGTAAATCTTACTTTTAAAATTCAGATTCTGGCGCAGCGGAGGGAACCCCTGCCCTGTGGGGCAGAGCGGCTCTGCTGAGTGCCGGGCTGCCCCCGCTGTGTTTCAGTGGTGTCGCGCAGGGGAGTGCGTGAGCAAGACCCCCATCCCAGAGCACGTGGACGGAGACTGGAGCGCGTGGGGCGGCTGGAGCATGTGCAGCCGGACGTGTGGGACCGGAGCGCGCTTCCGGCAGAGGAAATGCGACAACCCCCCGTAAGTTCCCCTGACCAAGCCTTTTCCAGAGTGCCCGACTGGTCTTCTGCTGCCCTAAGTTGAGAATTACCGCCTAAGGAAACTGCGGTAGGAGCAGGGTACCGGAATGCGGGGTCTCGGGGAGTCTCAGCTTCCCTCGAGCTCTCTCTGCAAACACTTGGATGCCGTGGAGACCTGCGGTGAGCTGGCTCCTTTCTTCCCTGCTTGGACTGTGGTAGAAAGATTTCCTGAGACAGCTGGACTCTAGTCTGTCTCGCCTGCCTCGTGCTTTGCGTAGTCCAGGGTCATTCTCAGGATGCCTTCCGGAAAGAGCGGCCAACCTTCAAACTGGCTGTGGGAGGATTTGGGAGCCGCCTGCTTGCTCATGAGTCATGGAGCCTCTGAGGGGTCAGCTGTCTTGTTCAGTCAAATATTTTTCATAGGTCTTCTTAAAACTAGTTGACCGGAAATAATATTACTGCGGTGGTTTTACTCTAAAGTTTTTGGTTTTGTTTGTTTGCTTGCCTGTTGGTTTTTTACTAGGATCACACCAAGATCTCTCCTACTCAGCCTAGGGCATTTGCTCCGGGAAACTTAGGGAGAGATTTTGTGCTGGATTATAATTCCTTCACCATAGGTTTCTCCTTCCCAATTTTAAATATTTTTGGACTGGCCTGTTTTCTCTCTTGGTTATCACAAGAACTAAGCATCAAAACCAGGTCAGGCAAGTCTCCCATCCTAGTACTGCTTTATCTTGTCTCTCCCTATAAAAGTAAGAAAAGTCCATGGAGGTGCATATGCAGTCCTTGGTCTACAGTTAATAAGCAGTCCTTCTTATTGTTAGCACTAACACAAGAATGAGGATCACACCACTTGTCCTGTCCCATCCACCTCGTAGTGCAGTTTTGCAACTCAAGCGGGGGAGTGTTTGCAAGGGTCGTGGTTGTCATGGGTGTTCATGACTGTGATTGGAGCTGTGGGCCCTTATGGAGGTCTGGCCTCCTTTGGCATATTACAGATGTCATCCTCCATCAGATGACACATCACAAACATCATCGTAGGGGAAGAGCAGAGCCTCTAATTACCCCAAGGCCCAGTGTCCAAAGACTGTAGACAATTAGGTTGTGTTTTGGTGCAGATGGCATCTGTAAGAATAATTTGCTTTCAGTGCTGGAAAATTGCATTAGCACAACTTTTAAGAGTCTCGTCTTTGTCTTTTTGTCTTGGGATGACATTGGCTACTCTGCCCCCACCCCAGTTGGCAGCCTGCGGAGGAGGAGGTTTTCCAGACCTTAGGACTTCATGGTTTGGACCCTGGTAACATTCCAGCTGCTTCCTTCCCTGCACATCTGTGATTTCTCTGAGATATAAGGGCATTTTATGATGGGAGGCTCCGAAGGACCCCCTGGTTCTAACAGCTGTATTAACATTCCCACCCTGCCTTAGCCTACAATGACGTTTCATATTTTGGAATTCTCTTCCCATCCCTCCAGGTCCAACAGTTCCTGGAGAGAGGCTGATGTGAAAATCACAAGGTTGTGAGAATTTACATTCCTCTTCTTTTATCAGCGACCCTGCCACAGTAGCCATCAGTTCTTTCTCTTGTTGCTCATCTTCCGGAATGTTAGCATTGAGGAATGGGGGCACTGTTGGGACTGCCACACATAAGCACCTGAGGGCTCGCACGTCTCCACACATGGAATTATGTGGGACCCGGATGCATCTTCGTGTTCTGGCGTCTGATGTCCAGCAGTGCCCCCAACGGTGAAAGAAAGCACCAGAAAGAAAAGGTTCACTCCTTCCCAGCCTGTGCTCCTTTCTGCTGATGCTTTTTCAACATTTCACCTGCGGTAAGCCTCACGGAAGCCTAAGTCTGCTAGGAGTGTGCTTACAGTGCCAAGCAAAGACACTGCCCACCTGCAGGGGCATAGCCCCGCTGCATTCCCTTGATTTTTTTCCCTGACACTTCAAACCAGGTCCTCACTACACTGTGCTCTCTCCTCCCATCTCACTTCTACCCTCTCAGTACATACCACCTCCTTCTACTGCATTGCCCGAGTGCAGAGTCAGTCTGCCCTGTCTCCTTTCCTCTTCCTCCATGACTGATCAAGATAGAAATGGTAAATTCAGGGGCCACTCACCATGTACCAGGTTGTCTTAGGCATGTTCCCTGCAAACTCTGTTGGAGAGGTATCTTTTTATCCCTACTGTACAGATAAAATGAAACTGAATGGTAGACAGGTAGGTAACACAGTAAGGCAGTGGTGGGCTGGCTTTGGAGCTCAGTTCTGAAACCCAGAAGTCCAATGTTGAGATGTCACCAAGGCTCCTTCTTGAAATGTGGAAGGAGAATCCATCTATGCCTCTCTCCTGGCTTCTGATTCTCAGGCATCTTTGGGGCTTCCCTGCAGTCTCTACCTCCATTTTCCTGTGATCTCTTCTCCGTGTCTTCCCACTTTTCTTGTAGAAGGAACTTATCACTGCACTTAGGGCCCACCTGGTCCAATGTGATCTCATCTCAAGATCTTTAATGAGGTCTCCTAAGACTTTTCCAAATAAAGTCACACCCTCAGGTTGCGGGCGGACTTGTCATTGGCAGGGGACAGAAAAAAGCCACCATTCAACCCACTGCCTCCTCACAACTTCCTGGCTCTTCCACAGGCACCCTGGTCCAACTCAAGACTGTCGCTCGAATTCTTTTTTCTACCTTGCCTGTGCCCCTCTTTAGACCTCAGCATAAATAATTTTTCCTTGGAGAGCCCTCATTCCCTGGGCACCTTGCTCAAAGTGGGGAGCCTCCTTTATTGTCCAGCACCGCTTCCTGATGTTGCAGGCACTGAAACAGTTGGTCACTCCTGTCACGTCTTAGCTCATTTGTTTCACTTTGTCCTTTCCACTGGCCTTTGTGTTCTGTGAAGACCCAGGATGGGCCACACCAGTTTGGCTCTAGCCTACCTGCTATGCCTGCAGCACAGTGGCCACTCTAGAAAATGTGTGACCACCCGACTTTCTGACCATGTGTTTGCCCCAAAAAGCAATCTTTCTGCTCTTCCGGGGCCCTAAAACATCCCTAATGTCTCTTTGTCCCCCACTCTAAGAAAAAGATTATCATAAATAATTAGGTCAAATAGGTAGATGGCCGGGTGGTGGGAGAAAGACTCAGGCCCCTTCCCTTGAAGCCTGGATGCTTGGAACAGCCAAGCATCATGCTCCAGGTCCTCCATGGCGAGGCCCACTGGCCACCCAAGCCTATCCTTCCCTGGTGATGCTGTGACTCATAGCGAGAAGGGCTCAGCATTGTCTCAGGATTAAGCTTCCATGACAGTATTGTTCCATTTCCCGTTTGGTACAGAAATAGCTTACTGCTTTTCCCTGGGGAGTCTTCCACTAGGCTGTCTTCTCCATGCATGCAGACCAGGTGAATGGCCAGTAACAGCCCTGGGCAGGTGAATTCGCAGCAGTTACTGGCACCTCCTAAAGAGGTGTGGGATGTGGACAGCACTGTATGCGGTCCAGGCTTGTGGTGTCCAGCCTGCGTTGCACAATGGCCTGATGCAGTGATTGTTACAAAGCACAGCTTATTGTAGCCTACGAGCCAAGTTCTGACCAAAACAACGTCCTCTCTGTCTCACTCCTCAAACCGTCAGGCTCACTGCCTCAGGATTTCAAAGGGACGTCCAGAGTCTCGGGCTTGGAACGCTCCCATGACCCTCTCCCTCCCCTCTTCGCACATATGCCTGGCTTCTTTCCCCGCCTTCTGCAGCTGGTTTATTCACTGTCCAAAAATGCCGGCAAGAGAGTCTCCTCCCACCCCATCATTTTTTTTCCCCTGGTCTTGGTCTTTATAGCTATTGAAGTTTTTGTTTTTTGCCAGGTGACATGAGGGCCCTGGGGACCATCTCTGTTTCTAAACCAACTTCCTAGGCTTGTCCTTTCCTGACATTTGTGTTGTTGGTGGTGGGAGTTATATCCAAAACTACAAGGTGGAGGGCCGGGGATTTAGCTCAGCGGTTCGGTGGCCTGCCTTGCAAGCTCAAGGACCCGAGTTCAATCCCCTGTACCAAAACAAAACAAAACAAAACAAAAAACTGCAAGGTAGAAAACTGGTCTCTAATTCCATTTCCGGTACCCATGGAAGGCTTGTTGTAGGCGTGGTGGGGAGAAAGGCTCAGGTGCGCTTGTGTAAAGAGCCAGCTCTTTACAGCAGGGGCAGAATGAGGAGAACAAAGACAGAACTGAGCTGAATCAGGACCCATCTGCAGTGTAGGACCCCCACGAGACCACAGAGGCAGAGGAATCAGGCAGTCACTCAAAATTACGCAGGTACAGGGATGGAGGGGTAAAGTCTATGGCTGCAACTGGTTTCTGCCTCCACAGTGAGACCCCATGAGTGTTTTCACTGTGCCAGCGACCTCGCACTCATATGGGTGATTCTCAAAACTCCAGGTTTCCTGGGTTTAAGTGTCAATTTCTCGGGGTGCTTGAATACCTTTTCCAAGGAGGTTTGAATACAAGGATGTCAGCTACCCTGAAGGTGGGCCCTGCACCATCTCCTGGACCCTTGGGATTTGCCCTGCTGACTCACAGGAACTCACAGAGGGCCGCCCATCTGTACAGCTGCTGCTGTGGCTTTCTCCTCTCGTCTATCTTCACGTACTAGGACAAAGCAGAAAACAAATGAGGTGCCACCAGCTGGCTTCTTTTGCCTCCAGCCTCCCCTGGTTCTCTGTGTCCGTCCCCTCTGAACAGAGGACAGGGGCGGTCTAGTGCTGTGTAATCCCTTTCATCTCAGCATCTCAGTTACTGCCAGGCTCTGTGCTTAAACCCATCTGGTGGTCTAGTCCAGGCACTGGGCGAACCACCCCAGCGGGAAACCTGGTACTCACCCTGCAGGTGCCTTGGGCAGATCTGCAGTGGAACTCACCTTTCCCTGCACTCTTCTGGTTTCTTATCAAGGCCTCTATTCTTTTGTTCATTTTAAAACATACTTATCAAAATCAAACCTGCAGAAAGTACTATGCCCTGCAGTGTTACTGTCCATCACCCTCAAGCAAGTGCACGGGGCATGCAGACAGTTGCAGGTCAGTGCAGTGGTGGGGACTCACTGGCTCATGTATGTGACCTTATGCTACCCCCTGCTCCATCTTTGCAGAGTGGCTGCCCCTTCTGCATTACCATGAGCTGTACCAGGCTGCCGGTTCCACATCTCCACCAGCTCATGCTACCATCAGTCTTTTATAGTACAGCCGTTCCAGTGGGTTGGTTGCAGTATCTTGTGGTGGTGTTAATTTGCATTTCCCTCATCAGCAATGGGGCTGAACATCTGTATGTGTCTCAGTGTCATTTGGATAGTCTTTAATTGTGAAAGGCCTGTTCTGGCTATTTTCTTTCACATCTAAGCTTCTACTCCATCAATGTTTAGAAAGGTCTCAAAGAGAAAGACTAGACATTGGGAATTGATAATAGAGAAGCAGCTTTAAAAACCCGTCCTGCCCCAACTGACCATCTCTCCCAGGCTATCCTCTCTGGCCTCATGATGGCCAGTGGGCAGTGCTTTCACTGAGTAAGAAGCAAGAGCTCTTGAGTGTTACATTTTACTGCCATCTCTTACTTGCCTGTTGGAGTGCTGCTTCCATCATCTGTAAGATGTAGTCAGAACCCCTTCTGAGTCTTCATGCAGACTTAATGAGGTTGCATCTGATCCCTGGAATGTCTGCTCAGTTTGTTTGCTAGTGCTGCCATAGCAAAGTGCCCCAGACTGGTAGCTTAAACAACAGCGATTTATTTTTTCACAGTTGAGGAGGCTAGGTGTCCACGATCCAGGCACTGGTGTGGTTGGCTCCATCTGAGGTACAATACAAATCTGTCCACACCTCTGTCCATTTTTGGTGTTCTTGGCATGGAGAAGCATCATCAGCATCTCTGCTTTCATCTTCTTGTGGTGTGCCCCCTGTGTGTGTCTCCAGACCCCTTATCATAAGGACACTAGTCAGATTAGGGGCTCACCCAACCCCATTGTGACTTCATCTTAACCAATTACGAAATCTTCAGTGATCCTATAAAGTTCCATTCAGAGGAGGGTTAGGATTTCATTATATAAATTTGGGAGAAGGGGTCACAACTCAGTTTGTAACTGCTTGCCATATGACATTTGGTTTGTCACTAATCCCTTCTTGATCCCCAGTCACGGGAACTTTCCTGTTGCCATGGAGATGTCTCTCTTACTGGTCCATGTGTCTCTTTAGGGCCAGACCTTCTCTCCTTCCACACTGGCACAGGAATCCTTGGAACCGCTTGACAGGGTCACCAGTGTATATTCTCTCCCTAGGCTTCTTCCGTGCCCAGGGGAAGGAATTGTTCATATGAATTGGACAGAGGGAGATAAAAGGGACCCTTCGTTCTACTTGGGGAATCTTCTCCAATACATCTAGGTAGATCAGGAGCTGGCAAACTGGTTTATAGACCAACCCTGGCTTGCCACCTGGTTTTATGAATAAAGTTTTATTGGAACACAGCCATGCTCATTCTTTTATAAGTTGTCTCTGAGTGCCTTTTTACTACAGTGGCAGCGTTGAGTGGTTCTGTTGTATGACTCTATGACCCACAAAACTAGCAATAATTCCTCCCTTCATCCTTTACCTAAAAAACTTCATTGACTTGTGTAGACACAAAAGCCTGCAGACTACTGCCCCCAAAGATGTGATCACAGGGTGGCCTTGCCATTCACGCATGAGAAATGGCAAAGGGAAAAAAAGACCCTCAAGAATTGGTGGCTGTCTCCAGAATATCATGGTGCCAACTGGTATGAACAGTTTATAAAAATTTATGGAGCAGTTGCGAGTTGAGCCCCCCCTTTTTCCTATGCTGAGTTTCAATAAAAAGCACAGAGTGAAAACACAAGGAATCTTAGTCCATCATGATGTTCTTGGCACCATGGAGATGAATGGAACCACTGAGGTTGCCCAGAGCCTTATGGAGGAGCTGGAAAGAGCCACCCTTTGGCCAGCCAGTTCTGCCTGTGAGTCCCTCATAGGTGTGGACTTAGTCACGGAAGGCAGTCTGGTCTCTAGAGCTGCTTAAAATCCTAGTCTAGGCAGAGATCCTAGGATTTCTTGCTGTAGCATTGGTCTCACACCTGCCCTGGTAGAACCGGGTCCCTCACAGTCAGGACTCAGGTGGGCTCTATTCAAAGCCCATTATCAGGTGAATTAGTCATTCAGATTTATTTCATTATAAAGTAAATGAGAACATTTATTTACTCATCCTAAGACTTGTCAGCCTCCAGAGTATACCCGCAGGCCAATTAAAGGTCTTCCTTTCAGGGAAGTAAAAAAATACTTTTTTTAAAAAATCAAAAATTCCCTTGGGGTTTTCAGAGTTACAGATAGTCAAGTTTTAGGTTAAAAAAAAAACAATGTGTACATTTTGCTGTACTGATGGCGAGCTGTGTTGTTTCCAGATGACCTTGATTGACAGTACTAGGATGCATTTTTCTGCAGATTCATGATTAATGTCAACACGCCTTCATTGTCGGGCTAGGATTGCACAGAGGGGGTTGCTTTGAAAGCCTTGCCCACTGCCTCTTGGCAAGAAGGACAACAGAGTGCCCTTGCTGTTTTCGAGAACCACCTGGTTAATGCAGATCTTCTTCCTTCTAGCCCTGGGCCTGGAGGCACACACTGCTTGGGTGCCAGTGTGGAGCATGCAGTCTGTGAGAACCTTCCCTGCCCCAAGGGTCTGCCCAGCTTCCGGGACCAGCAGTGCCAGGCGCATGAACGACTAAGTGGCAAGAAGGGCCTGTTGACAGCAGTGGTGGTTGATGGTAAGGTCGGATGCCTCGTCTTTTCATAGTGGCTTCCTTCTCTTCTCCCCCAAGAACCATAAAAACCACTTTGGGAAGCTCACAGGCTGCCCCCACCCAAAGAAAAACCCGCCCAGTGAGATGTTCCACTCCCCTACCCAAATCAGCCACGGCCCCACTTCTGGAAGGGCAGGGTTGAACTTGACCCAACTTTCAAAGATCTCCCAAAGACAGCTGTCTCAGGCAGGTAGCAAGCCAGATTCATCCTGCACCCGCAACTGCAGCAAGGCGGTGCTGCATCCTGCCACCTGCCACTGTGTGCAGAGGGCCCAGGACAAACTGAGGAGACCAGGATTCTAGAGGGGCAGGGCGATGTGTTCGTGTGTGTGTGCTCCCTTGCTCTGCAGCAAAGATGTCTTCCTGGTTTGCTTTTCCTGGCTCATTTTGGATAGGTTTTACTCTTTGGGGAAATTTGGAGAACAGTGCATACTATCTGCGAAAGATAGTATACACAATTGGCGCAGTTCGTATTCTCTTTGAAAGAACTTTCTCCCGAGTGACTGCACGCCATTGGGTTGCTGCAGCATTTCCAGTAACTGAAAAAACTCCAGGTAATGAATCATATCTCTGTAGGATTTGTAATGTTTTTTCATTGTAGGTGAGCGTTTTCTGCCTGAAACTCTGTTCCGCTTCAGGAAACACGACTTTGTGTTGCGATGCTGACAGTATGGTCCCATTTATTGAGCATACTGTGTTCCGGGCATAAGTTAGCTGTACATACGTGATCTCATTGGATATGCAGGGCAAGTTGTGCAGAAGATGAGAGGTGACAGGTTATGTGACATGTGTAAGCTCCTACAGGTGACATGCGTGGGAGGGAACCAACCCCAATTCTGGAGTAGTAAAGTTAACTCCAAAAATCACCAGCTGTCACCTTGCTGGTCACAGCATGACGTCACAGGGACAGAGTGAGGGAGCTTTAAGTAGAATGAAAACAAGAGGGCCAGATTTTCAAACAACCTCCAGCGTGTTTAGCCAAAAGATTCATGTCCTAGGGCTGGAACTTCAGTTTCTTCACCATGATGGGAAGAACCTTTTAAATTTCCTTTCTATTACGTGTGATGACAAGTTCAAATGTGCGTAGCTATTTAAAGGTGGGCCCAGGCACAGTGGCGTTAGCAGCTTCAGATCTGCAGCTTTTAGCTGGACAACCTGACCCATTCCCTTTAAGATGACTCGTACTGTTGCACATGATGCTCTCAAATCCAAATTATAGCCGGTAATGCCAGCCCACTCTCCTGGGGAGTGATTTTCAAGGACTGAAGAGCTGCACTGGACGTGATCCTTTCTCAAAAAGAGTTACCACCTTTGGGGCTGGATAACTGCGTTGCACTTCTCTGACCGAATCCGAGAGCTCAGTCCTTGGACCCTGACTTTCCCTGAAGACAAGGAGAGGGAAGACCCGTGCTCCCCAAAAGGAACCTGAGCAGTCGGGGGCACATGGCTGTGCCTCGTCCCGGCCTCTCTCTGCCTGAACACTGTTCCGGTGCAGGAGCAGACAAGGAGCTTCCAGGCATCTCAGCCTCTCAGTCTCCTAATCCGGAGTGAGGTAGAACCAGAGAAAGTCGCCAAACCTTCTGCTTTCCCCAGAAGGACAGATAAAGATGCTTTTAAGCCTCTTTTGTCCTTTGCTCCTTTACTGAATTCAACTCTAAGATAGACTCACCCTTTTTTCATTTCCACTCAGCTCTGTGCACAAATTTGTCGTTATTCTTTCCTTGGTTGGTTAAGTTCTGCCTTGTTTATTCGACGCAGAAAAATCCCACTTCAATATCTGTTTTTCCACAGATTTCTCCAAGTCCAGCTTAAACCTCTGTTTTCCTTCTAACCACTTTTGGATGGGTGAGCTCTTCAGTCCCCTTATCATAGTGGCTGAGACCTATGTCTGCACAGACACCCATTCCGGAAGCTCCTTGGGCTCTCACTGGGTTTAGAATGCATTTTTTTCACCCACTTGTATTTTGTTTCTTTCTGCCTAAGTAATAAATAATTATGCTAGTGTGCCACTGCCTTTGATCTGAAAAGTACATCCCTTCTTGATAAGGACAGCTAACAGGCCGTAAGTGTTTTGCCTTTGAAGGAGAGACTCTGAGTTCAGGACTCTAGAAACGTAGCTACACATGTCCTCCTCCTCTGGGGTGGAATTGTCATGACTTCTTGCATATTTGGTTTCAGTTCTCTCTCATTTATAAACAAAAGCCAGCATTTTTCAGAAGGAGCACTTCACAAGGGTAAAAGCAAAATAATAAATGGCCAATTCAGGAGGAGGATCTAAGTGTTCCTCTCAAACCCCGCTTTCTAAAAGGCACAATTCTAGCTCAGCCGTGATAGGAACGATTCCTGTGGTCGGGCTCCGGGCTCTTCTGAAGCCCATTATGACTACCCTATTCATAGCTCTGCTATCGCTGCAGAATTCTTTGGCGAGTGACGCACAGTTCAAGAAAGGCAAAGCAATATTTTTTCTTTTCTCTCTCTCCTTTTTTTTTTAAACGAATTATTGCAGAGGTAGATTTTCCAAGGGAGGACTCAGGACCACAAATCCATACCCACCTCCAAAAGAAGACAAAGACTTTCCTTAGAAAAGATTTCTGGGTGGAAAAGCCCTTAGACAGAAACCAATTGAGCTGGCTGGTTTCCAAACCCACCCTGTTCCTGCCTTACCCCGTGGAATCTCATCGAAATGGAAAGCTTCAAGAGTTCAGCCCTCTGCCCAGGGCAGCAGCAGGCCATGCGCCCACTGAAGAGTTGGAGGGCTTGGCCAGAGCTGTGTCTGAATGTGGTGCTGCTTTCCCAGCTCTTTCTCCCTGGCAGGTCTGAGCCTCTAAAGGGATAGGGCGATGTGATAGTTAAGACTTTCTGACCTTACCTTAGCCAAGCTATCCATAAACAGTATCTCAGGGGACCCAGCAGCCAAACTGAGGGTCCAGGTTCTGAAGATGTCAGAACCTTCCTAGGACTTACACACAGGAGTCAGATCTTCTTGACTGTGGTCTGCCTTTCTCATAACTTATCTACATGTAGGCTAAAGGGATCCCATAGCACATCTTATGTAAATTTATATCCCTTATCCAAAGTTGGGGGGCTGAGTATGGTTCAGAACTCAAAGCATTTTAGTGCGAGAAAAGTAAAAACAACAAGCTGTAAAGAGCCTCTGTTTCTGTGATGCTCACACCAAAGAGCTCAGACAACCTTTATGTCTCCCAGGCTGGTCTTTCCAGCTTTTCTCAGAATAGCCTCTATTATTCTACTACTCTTTCTTTTTGCTCATTAAAGTATATACTCAGATCGCTTCTCGGCCTTTTGGCTAAGATCAAGTGTAAAGTATATACTCAGAAACCAGAAATACCCACAAACCTAGTGGTTTCTTTTCAGCCATTTTTGCCCCTCGGTGTTGTTGGGCCCCAAGAGTTCTCCATTCAAAGAATGTAAACAGTGATGGTCAAAGGAGAACCAGGATGGAGTGAAGAGGTCAGCGTGCGGCCCGTGCCCATCCCATGGGTCCCGTGTATGTGATGGGATGATGATAGCATATACCTGAAATGCACAGTCATTTGGCACTTAGCTTGCTGCCTGGCCTACAGTAGCTGATGAATGTCATCATGCTATATCGTCATCACTGTTCCTATTGAATTAATTACCTCAAAGCCCAGTTACTCCCAGTATTGAGTCAGCACTTCAATCTAAGGGTAATGAAAATCTCCAGTTTGGAATCACTTTGGCCACAGGGCACTTCTTTATAGTGGACATTAGCAGCAGCACAGTACATGCAGTAGACGCACCAGTCCAGTCAGACTGGAGGGTTGTGAGCTGCTTCTCTCCCAGCAGCTCCCACAGTGCTTACAGGAAATCACTCAGGGCTCCAAAGAACACATCAATAATCATGTCAAACAAGCTCCTGGAAGCTGATCTCAGGTTCTTTCTCCATCTGCCATAGTTGTCTTTCCTCTGGCTTCTTCCTTGGGCCCTTCTAGATGTAGGGACAGGCATCCGCAGTGTGCCACACAGGAAATGAGTCATTCCTTGCAGGTTGCGCCCTGCCCTCCATGAGCTCACATCAGCCTCCCGCCACGGAACTTGTCACATTTGTACGTCTGGGGTTTGGTCTGTACTGGTCCATGACACCTCAGGGGCCTCAGGAAGCACACACTACTCATCATTCTTACCCCAGTAGTGCCCACAGGCTGCTTTGTGTGAGGGAGGGGCTCAAGCCATGCTTGTTGCATGAACAAGTGTCCAGGGGCACTTACCTTGCTTACCTATGAAACTGAAGATAATCTAGTCTACTCTTCAGAGCCAAATCCACCTCCCAACTAGCTGGAAGAGCCAAGCTGAGCATATTGCTCTGTTAAAGATTCCAGCTGGTAGGCCAAGACCATGTCAGCTACGGAAGCCTTTCTCTACCCTGCCCTTTGCTCACCCGGGCCCATCAGAAGGACCCACTGGGGAAGGCTGGTGGTGAAGATGAGGGCCCAGAAAGAGAGTTCTCCCACTTCCTGGAGGTTTCCTTTGCAGAGTAACCCCATTAATGGTGTTAGGGTTAGGATTCAGATGGAAAGGGGGGTGTTCCTCCATTTATTTTTTCAGAAACCCTTACTGTGAATTTAGGTTTCAGACCCCTGACCCCTAAGAGGGTCCCACCTCATCAGGGCATAGGACTGGAATTATGTCAAAGTTGGGATCTCTTAATTTGGGACTGTTGACATGTATACAGTGAGACATCTTAGGGATGGAACCCAAGTCTAAATTCATTTTTGTTACCTCCACACCTTATATCCTGCAGGCAATTTGCACAGTATTTGTAGTGTGCCTGTGACTCATCACATGAGGTCAGTTGTGGAATTTTCTACTTGTGATGTCATCTCAGATCTCAAGAAGTTTCAAAAGTTGGAGCATCTTGAATTTTAGATTAGGGATGCTTGTAATTAAAAGTCATCCTTTTTGGATTCCATTAGCAGTGGGATCTGCCTTACAAGAAATTCCCTTGTATATAGGATTTTATCAGTTATAGAACAACAAGCTATTGTTATTTGCAAATTCATTAGCTGAAGGCTTTCTTGGAGATTTAGGCAGAGTGTGCGCAGAGAACCCATTGTCAGACATGGTAGGAGAAGAGAGGTCTGTCATGATGGTAGCTGCCCGTGTGTGACGGCCTTCTATAAAGCCAGGTACAAAGAAGGATTTCCAGGCAAAGGGAACAGCTTAGGCCAGTAGTGGCAAACCTATGACATGTATGCTACAGGGGGTACACAGAACCCTCTCTGTTGGCACAAGAACCAAGTTCCCCCAGCAGCTGAGCATTGGATAAGTTTTTTTTTTTTTTTTTTTTTTTTAAAAAACAACTCCAAAGCTCAGGAGGGTGAGTTTGCTGACACAAGCATAATTAGCTGGGAAGGTTCTGTCTGCCTAGGAGTCAGGAGGCAGCCAGCTGTGAGTCTAAAGTTCCTGTGCAAAAGTGATTTTCTCCTCTCTGGCCAGTCTCCTCCTATGTAGAATGGTAAAAACCCTGCTAAAGTTGACATAATCACAGTGTTGGAACTTTGCAATGAATAAGTGGGTTTGGGTTACAGTTTGAGCACTCGGTCTCTAAAAGGTTTGCCATCACTGACCTAGACAAAGGCACGTAAGCTTGGTGTGTTCTAGAAACTCACATGGTTCCAGGAGCAGCAGGACCTGGGGCTTTCATCTGTCCAGTGACATGGCTCTAGGAGTTGTCCTAGCAGTCCCCACGTCCCCTTCAGGACCTCACTCCTGCTTGGAATCTTCCAGCACCTCCATGCCTGATGTCACAGCTCTGCAGCTGCTGCCCAGCAGCCTGGGGAACACTGAGGCTTTTAGCAAAAGCCACTGTCATGGAGCCTCCATGGAACCTGCTCCCCACTTCTGGTCATTCGTGTTCACCATCCCCTCCTCACCTCCACTATGGCGGCAGCTTCTGGGCTCAGACCAGACACACACCCCTGTCCAGGGTCAGCTCACAGATGTACCTTTCTTCAGTCTGGCGCATTTAAAGCCTGCAGGAAAAGCACTGCTGTCATCTTTGCAAAGCATGAGCAAAGGAGAAGGAAACCACAGGGCTCTGACCCCCACTTTTCACGTGCCCGAGTCTGAGGGTCTTTTCCAAGGTGTTTTAAGAATCCAAAGGAGCTGTGTGTGTGTATATCTGAGGACATGTTCCAAGCTGCTCTGACCTTTACCTGTGCCAGTTTCTCCTCTCTGTGTTTGCCTGTGACTCGTGTGCCTGTCCCCTGCAAGGCCCACAGGCCCCTTCCCATCTCAACATCTGCCAACCTTTCCCTCCTCAGATAAGCCTTGTGAGCTGTACTGCTCACCCCTCGGGAAGGAGTCACCCCTGCTGGTGGCCGATAGGGTCCTGGATGGCACACCCTGCGGACCCTATGAGACAGACCTCTGTGTGCATGGCAGGTGCGAGGTAAGTGCTTTTCCTTATGTCCTCGATGGGCTTGGAAGGAGACTCCCTCTCCCCAAAGGGGCTGAGGGTGGAGGTGAGGTCTCAGGAGGCCAGGGCCATGGATTTTCGGGGAGGTACCTGGTGATGCTGCCTCCTTCAGCCAGCAGTGCCTGGCATGCTGCTCTGCTCTTGGCACAAATACTGCAACCTCAGTGCCACGGGAGCCTTCCTTCCTTGGCTGTAGATGCCTCCTCTCTTCTTGTTGCAGCCACATTCCCTGCTGTGTCCTCAGCATGTGGGCCCACCAAGGCCTGTTGGAGATGGCAGCTCAGGATTGCCAGGCATTCCGCGTAGGAAGGAACATTGGGTGTTCTTAGGGTTTTCCTAGTTTGACCTCTCTTGACCAACCCCTGTGTTAATCTAATGAAAGAGTCTGCCACCTGAGAGCCACTGGGGGGCCTTCCAATTTTATTAGGAAAGGAAAAAAAAGTGAATTTCAGGAGCTATGTGGCTCCATTTGCTTAAGTCTCTACACCTTCCAAAGCTAACACCCATCTTTAATCCTTTCTGGAAACTTAAAAACATTTGAAACAATAGGAGTCTCTGGGGTCATGGGGAAGAGATACTTCACTCTCATTTGATAATGAGTGTGTAGAGGCTGGCTGCTGAGCCTCAGGTCCCCTTCAGGCAGCAGACTTGGTACATTCTCTTTGCTTCTCCAGTGCCTAGCACAGTGTGTAGGCATCAGTATTTTGGCGAGTGACAGGAGAGAAGTAGGAAGACATAGCCACGAGGGTGAAGTCTAGAACGGTCTCTGCAGCACTTTCCCTGCAAAGTCCAAGCTAGTCCCAAACTGATTTTTCAGGGCAAAGCTTGACAAAACCCAGGCTCCTTTGGCACTGCCTTGTTTCATTATCAAATATGGATAAGTGTGGGTGATGAATGCTTGGTGCCTGAGCGTCTTGGCAAAGCAAGCTCCCAGTGAAGGAGGCAGCAGTGTGTGCTCAAGCTGAGCCCTCAAGGCTGCTCTCCTCGAAGCAAAGAATGTGCAGGCCCTGCCCCTCGGTTGGTGTGAACAACACTTTCACCATTATCACTAAAATAAAGCATTGCTGACAGTTCTCAGTGAACCTGCTGGCAAGCCCAGTGTGGGATTTGTTTTCTTCCTAAATTACCAGCTTGCCTGGGCCATCTTGTATGTGTGTGTGTGTTACACAGTGACCTACATTCCTTCGCTAACCTTCCTAAGTCAGAGCTCTTGTGCCCTTTAGGGCAATACCAGCCGAGCCGCCACTTGTCCTTTGCCAAGTACCTTCTGCAGTGTTCTTGCCAGCAGGGAAGTATTTCTAAGAACTTTGACATTCTGTAGCCAATAGGGGAGGGTGTTTCTACCAGACATGATTTCAGCTCCTACTGGTGTGTGCCAATGGGCATTTCCATGAGCTTGGTTTTGATCTTAGCCTTTTTAACCAGGAAGTCTTTCCTACCCTTTGACTGCAGAACTGTCATTTCTTTAGTCGGTAGAATGAGGTCAAGATGACGTTCGAGTCATTTAAATAGTCAGATCCGTGGACATCTGGCACCATGGGACCTGATCCTTCTCCAGACATGGGTGTTGTCTTGATTGCTTGGCTGCTATAGCATAATGCTGTCGACCCCAGTGCTCAGGGCTGGACGCCCACGGTGAAGGTGCCAGCGTGTCTCTAGAAAGGATCCTCTCCCAGGTTGCAGACTGCTGGCTTGTTGTATATTCGTATGGTGCAAGGAGAGCTCTTTGGTTTCTTATACAGGCAGTCATCACCCCCATTGGCCCACTTCCAGATAACTTTAGGATGCAGAGTTAAACGTACAGATCTGGGGAGAACACAAGCTGTAGTCAGTCCGTTGTTGATGGGATGGGAGTGACACTGAGGCACGTGCCTTCCTGTTCCAGATACCACGCCATCTCCACAGGCCATGCCCACTCTGTGCCCAGTGCCCCCATCGCTGCTGTCATCACTGCATTTGTTGTCACCGGCACAGAGCCTGGCACTATCCGAGCAGAGTCGGGCACAAAGGTACAGTCAGTGACTCCGTTTGCAATGCTCCATGGTGGTCTCATGCTCCTGGGAGCATGGCCAATGAGGAGGCCACTCTTGGGCCATCTGTGCTGGATGGTTACACTTTGGTGACCTGCTGCCACCAGCCAGCCCATCCATCGTGGCAGAAAAGCCGCCCTGCCAGTAGGTGGCAGCAGCACTGCCTACGAACACTTCCCAAGGTTAAAACCTTGAGAAACAGCTTGCTTTCTTCAGGAAGTCAAAGACCATCTACTGTTTTTCAAACATTCTTTTTTTCGCAGAGAGACCCTGAAGAATGACCTTAGCCTATTCTTAAACCTCATGAAATTCCAGCTGAGTACCTTACATAAGATTTGTAAACCAAATACTTCATATAGAGTATGCCTCATTCCAGTAACTCAAATAGAATGTTCAGAATTGCTGTGGTTTTTATGAAGGAGCAAGGCAAGGAAAATTGGTTAAAAAATAATGGCAATCATAATTTTTAAAAATGCCAGAAGTATGGTGAGCAGAGAATCTGGATCTATTCACTGATATAATTAAATACAGTGGGTAGAAGGTAGAAATCATCCATATTACTGGTAAGACAGCAGTTATAGAAGTATCACCATGGCATACTTACTGTAGGTTTTCCCTTCTTTTCCCTTCAGCTATAAATTTTGCTATTTTGGGGTAGCAGAAGAACACTGGGAAATTTTAAGGAACATAGTAACTAGTTGGTAGGATGAGAGGCCCCAACACGGCATTTTGAGTAGATTCCACTAAGCTGCAAATAGCAGGCTGATTCAAACCATAACATGAAACATGGAAATATCATTTTATTCCATTTCATGAGGACTGAGTTAAGTTTCATTCCATTGAATCACAAATTACTTAACATGCTGAAATTAAACTTAACAGCACTCATAAAAGTGGGAGGGAATTGAGGGGAAGAAACACAAACATCGTATGTTTTTCAGCAAGTCTCTCTAAATCAGGAATCCCATCATCATTGATTCCTACTATTGGCCTCCAGAAGCTGAGAAGCCAGGGTACTAAGTCTCTTATATACAGCTTGCTTCTGGGGTACCAACATAGAGTGGGCGAGATGCCCTGACACGTAGCATTAAAAACGTCAGTGGCCAGATCCAAATACACGTGAGGTCCGGATATGCTTGGATTTTCTTCAATGCGTTGTTAGCATATGCACACCAGTAGTCACTGATTAGGATCCGCCTTCCTTAGGACGGTAATCTGTATGCATAACCTGGGCTCAGTGACCACCAAACTGAAACATTTGTGGGTCTGTAAGTTTCTTCAGTGGAGGAACTGTGTCTCATTAGCCTGTTTTTCCCTAGGAGTGGGGGCCTTTGATTTCTTATTGAAAAAATAATGTTAAACAACAGGTGAGTATATGAGTAGATGGTTTACCTGCAGGGACTAGAGTGGTTCTGGAATCTGTGGACCATTTTCAGTGTCAAGAATTTATTGGTCTTGCATTTTGTGTACAAAAGCAAATAGAATTACTGGTGGAATTTAGAATTATGAAAGACTCTGGCCTCAGAATAACTGTGTGAAGAAGAGATGACAGCGGTGCAGGAAAACAAACCAGGCATCGACACTTGGGCCCATTTCAGCGGTGTCCTCTTTTGCTGCCTTTGCAGCACCTTAACCCTGCAGCTGCCTTCTCCAGAGTGTGTGGCTGTGAGTGCCAAACCTTTATGGAAAGCACCCGTCTAATCCTCCACGGTAAAGGCAGCATTGCAAAAACCGTAACAGTGGGGGAAGCAGAGGCCGGATAGAGAATTGTCCCACCTTACTTTGGGTAACACATAAATGGAAGGGTCCTTGAAGGAACAAAGTAACAGAGGACAGAGCTGGAACAAATGGAGAGTCACGACTAAAAAGAAAGCTCAACCTGAGAGTCCTAGACTTGGGGAATGGAGATTGGAAGCAAAGAGTTGGCTAAAAACAATGAGATGAGCCAAGAGCACACACATCATTGACCATGGCCAGCCCTTCTTGGCTCTGGTCTGGTGGGGTGCTGTATTAGTGGGCTTCCTTCCAAAATACGAGGCACATTGTTCATGATAAACCAGAGCAAGAGGTATGGGCTTTGTTCTCAAGGCACTTACCCTTCTGGGCTTAGGATAGATCCCAGTTTCCCTCCTACTAATCCAAAAATGGAACATACCATGCCACACTGTCCACCATCAACTACAGATCTCCTTCCTTTGGCCTCCTCCTCCAGTATGACTGAGCAACCACAGATAATTAGCTATTTGAAAAAAATCAGCAGCGTGAGCCGGAAAGACCAAGAAAAATAAACAGGAAAACTGACCCTGACCGAAAATTTATGCAGTTAGAGAATTCTGTATAAAGTCATGCTATCAGTCAAACACATGGACAAAATAAAGTAATTTTGAGATGTAGAAGAATTTGGAAATTTGATTTTCCATGTATTCATTCTGGAGCAATTACATATAGTTTAGCAAAACAAGGATGAAGTCAAGAAAGAGGAAGATGAACATTATAGGCCCTGGTGAAAATTACCAGGAGCCCAATAAATTCTGGCCTGACAGCTGTGCAGCTGGCCCAAAATCTGTATTCAATTAAAACTTAAGTCAGAGTCTCCCTCCAACCAGCAGATAGGATGAGGCGGCAGTTGAAGACAGCTACTAGTTGAAGAAAGCAAGTAGTGTGCTGGAGGGTTAGCATAGTGGTACAGTGCTTACCTAGGGAACTCAGGGCCTCGCCATTCAGCCCACATGCTCTACTCTTGCCCCATCCCCACGGCCACTGACAGCCTGCTGGATTCAGTTCATCCTGGCGTGCTCATAGGAGATGGGATCTAACATGAAGTAAATACTTTTTTAAAAAGTATATTACGGTAAGGCACATTGCCTTTAATCTCCCTCAAAACCCTCCTGCTCGGTTCAGACACATTTACCCCGTCGCTCTCGCCGCTTTCCAAAGCAGCTCTGCAGGCCCTCTTTTGGTGTCTTTAGTCGTGCTGTCATGGCTGCCTCCGTGCCCTGAGTTGACTCAAGTGTTTACCTTTCACGGTCCTTTTGACTTGGAGGAAGAGCCAGCGGTCGGTCACGCGTTGCCAGCTCCCGCGAGTGCAGACTGTGATGTTTTACAAGCCCGTCTTTCTGCTGGGTGGCGCCTGACGGCAGCATTCTTACTGATCTTACTTCTGCAGGTACTCGGGGGTAAAGGACTGCTTTGGAAAGCAGCAAGAGCGATGGGAAGTGAGAGGAAGTATTTTAAGGGAAATTAATGGCAGTGTGTCTTTTCCTATAATCAATTTTTAAAAATTTAAATATTCATATATTTCAGTCATCCCTCATGTGCAAAAGAAGTGAGAGGGAAACAGACAACAGAATCCAAAGCAAATGTCAAGAAGCCTCTGGTAGCAACATGAAAATTGTAGAGGCAAAAGGATTAATCCACTCAGGTCCACTAAAGCTTGATAATGCTACATTTTCAGGGTGAAGCTTTGTGGGTGGATGTTATGGCAGATTGGAAGAGATCTGACATCATAGGAAAAAAATATATAAATCTGTCTTGTTCATAAATTGACAGTGCTAATAAGCTGAAGTATAGTTGACTGAAAAAAAACTGTGCAAGAACATCCCAATTCAAGTATGAGAGAACTAAGTGTCCTACGTCAAAGGAGAGTTGACATCTGGCAGTCCAGAAGAAAGAGGCAGAGAACCCTTTTAGAAAAACAAGGTCTCTAAACTCTCAGTTTTTTTCCAGAGCTTATCTCAATAAGAGGTCATCATTTTTATGCATTTGTTGAAGATGTACTAGGTCTCAGCCTTCGCCAGCCACTGTGTGTGGGTGTAAGGGAACAGGAATACGAAGATTACAAGACATGGAGGATCTGTTAGGAAGATGGTAGATACATGGGATCCTAACTGCTGGGCACAAAGGCATGATTAAGAGCTGATGAGAGACTGAGTTGAGATGTAGGAGAAAGCACCGAGTGGAATTTGATTTGTTAATGCATCAAGTCTTTGTTGTACACATTCACATGCCAGGCACTGGAGCACACACTGGGCATTCTGTAGGACAGCATGGCATCAGGGAAATTTAGATGACACACCAGACACCCTGCGTTAGAGCTGGGAGAAGCTCTCTGGACCAAGTCGGGTATTTTTAGAGTATGCAGAAGTTGTTTAATGAGGAAGTCCTAACTGAGGTGCAAGCCAAGCCAAGCATGAAGTCAGGGAGTCCTAGTGACAGAGCAGAGGTGTGGCTTAGAAATAACAGGAAGCCTGTGTAGGAAGGCTCTAGATCTGTAAGCCCTGGAGGGAGATGGGGCATCCTAACGGGCAGATCCCAGTGACATACAGAGCGAGGGCAAGGGGTAGCTCTGGTGGCGGTGGCCTGTGGTTGTCCCCCACCTGGAGACCATGAGGGTGGAGCTCTCAGAACGCAGAGCAGCACGCACGTGGTCTCCAGGCTTGGCACTGGGGCATTTGGTGAACTCCCTGCTTCGAGCAGGATTTCTATTTTTGGCCACTTTGTATGCTCAACCCCAATATTTGTGTGCTGAACAACTTCTTAGCAGCCAGCTAGTAGGCCAGATGCAGAGTCCAGGAGCTCTGTCACAGCCAGTGTCCCCCAGGTCACAGTGGGGTGGTCTGCCACAGTGGGGTGTCACGGTTGACTACCAATTCCCGTCTGTGTCTTTTCATCTTTCATTAGTACATTTCATGTGCATCTTAATGTAACACCCAGCTCTTCGGCTGTCATGAAATCCACTCTGATGGGTTGGCTCCCTGCCTGGCCAAGGGCCACTAAAACTTCCAAGTTTGCCCTTCACTTGTTTTTGTACTGTGAACAAGTGTGATCCTTTTTTCAAGTACTGCCTTTTTAGTGTTTATAAGGATGATTTTAAGATTAGACTAGCTCACCTCTTCCCACATCTTAGTCTGTACTGAAATACACCCAATTATTCTACCCTTTTGGGGCCACACAGTAGCAATTTCCCATTAGTTCTTTCCCAGAGAAGCCAAAGCATTTAAAGATGAGGCTCTGGGATTGTTGATGAGAAAGCCATTCATCTGACCATCTCATTTAGCGAGCACCAGTGTGTAATGGTTCTTGTCGGGTGGTCCCAGGACAGCATTGTCTACTTCACCTGGGAACTTGTTAGAAACGCAAAGTCTCAAGCCTGCCCTATTGGATCAGGATCTCCAGGATGGGATCTAGCAGTCTGTGGGATCCTGGGCTTGGTGTTTGGCTCCAGGAATCTGCTCTTCAGCCAGCATGGCTCCAAGTCCTGTCCAGTAGGTGGGAGTGAGTGAGGAGGGCAGCACATAGCCGGTTCCTGTCTGAGCGTCTCAGGAAAAAGCTGAACTGCCCCACCCTGGGACCCTGGTTTCCTTTATGGCCTGAAGCACCAATGCTGCCGGGGTGCAGGGCTGTTGTTATTCTGAGAGTATTTGCCTTAACAGACAAAAAGGAAGAGGAACATTGAAAGCACTTTAACTAGTAAATAAACTAGTGAATAAACACTAAGTGTTTATCTAACATAAATTTAGGTTACTTCACAGATTACAAAATTGTAGCGTGCATACAACTGCGCCCGCGCTTGTGTGTGTGTGTGTGTGTGTGTGTGTGTGTGTGTGTTTTAGAGAAAAAACAAGAGGTGCCATTTTCTACTTCTCATAACTCTATGGCTATAGAAACTCTATGGAGTTGCCTTTCTTCTGGTCCCAGAAATAACTTACTGAGAAGGTTTCAGAGACACAGATGTTTTGCTGACCAGGTCTCCCTAAGTGTGAACTAGGGGCCCATATCTGGCCGTGCCCCCTGGGCCCTGGGCCTTCCCTTTCTCAGCAGACACCAGTGTAGTTTCTGCTATAGGCGTAGACTATCAGTTGTTCCAACCAAGACACAGGTGACCCACAGTGAACCCTGATCCTGTGAAATTGTGGCTGCGCCAGGTGGTGTATGCGAGCAGCTCTACTTCTGATTAGGGCCTCAGCTGCCCCAGTGTGCAGCCAAGGCCTCAGTGGGTAACATCTGTGGGTCCCTTTCCTCCATAGCACATACTAGAAATATATATTTTACAAGTATGTGTGCAAAGACAAAATATAACCCAGGCTGGATTCTGGTTTTTTTTTTTTTTCCTCTTCTGAATTTGAAAGAATTTAAATATTTTCTTGGACCTCTGAAGTTTTGGGGGCCCCAGGCCCTGCACCTGCTGGACCTGATGGAGAATCAGCCCTTCAAGGCATCTGATTTAAACCCCTCTGAGTCTTAACGCACAGTGCTCTGGTTCTCTAGAAAATCGGCTGTGATGGCATCATCGGGTCTGCGGCCAAGGAAGACCGGTGTGGTGTCTGCAGTGGGGATGGCAAGACTTGCCGCGTGGTGAAGGGTGACTTCAGCCACTCGCGGGGGACTGGTGAGTACTGGGGCCAGGGCCCTTGTGTGTATAGAGCAGGCAACATGTACTTCCTGGCCCAAAGGTTAAGTGTATACGCCCTTGCCCTTCATATTTAAGGTCAAGATGATAATAGATTGGCGAGCTGGCACTGAAAGGCAAGGAGGAATGATGTCTTTAAGTTCCTCCGAAGGACTAGTTTGCCCATGAGAGGAAACGGCTCCTGCTGCTCAGCAGCTCGGCCCCGACGTCCATGAATGAGAAGAACCCAGCTTGCTCCATGTCAACTTCCTTGTCAGGCCGTTTGATGTACGGTCAGAGAGGTAGCAAAGGCCCTGCCACGTCGTTTTTACCTGTTGATGGGTGAGGTTTTCTCTGCTTCTGAATTTTGTCTCAGGAAACGTAGGCTAGCATTTACATGCGTCTGTGAAATGTGCGTGAGCTTTATGATCCAGAAGGGCTCAGATAGATGCCTCTGGGAACTGGGACCCCAGAGTAACCAAGGGTCCTGGTTCCAAACCTCGACCTTTCCCAGCAGCATCCTTGCAGCTACACCAGCGTTCATTTGGTGAGACTTCTTAGTCTCTGTGCTTGCACCATCTTTGCAGCTTCGGGCTGCTTGTGGCAGATAGTTTTCAGACCCTCTGCCTGGAGGACACCATTTTGTGACAGCCAGTGGCACCTGTCGATGATGCTTATTGAAAAGGTCAATGAGAGTACCCGAGCTTCTGGGTTGTGACTTTGACCTTGTCTCCTGGAGCTGTGTCAGAAGTTTGGAACTTCTCCCTCAGCATTTGCTGAGGGGTTACCAATCCCTTTGATTTTTATTTTTAAAAAGCATTAGAGCCCTTTACTTAAATTGAATGTTATACCAATCTCCAATAAATGAACCTGCTACAATAGTGCCCTCTAACCTAGGCAGATTGAACACAGCCATGCTCACCCCTGCCTCTGGGCAGTTCTGTTGAACACTAAAGAAAGTTCTGCCACATGCCTTTGAAAACCTCCACTGCATGCACCAAAGCAGCTCACTTACCAGACCCCAGATTAGGAGCAGAAGCATCCTCTCCATTCAGAAACACTAATCTGTTTGCTGGCCTTTTGGCCTAGGCAAATCATTCATCTACCTGCAATAGCATTCTTTTTCCTGGCCTCCTCTTTTCCATCCACCTTGTGCTAGATTTCCTCTGTGCATAGACATTATAGCCTTCTGCCGGGCAAGGTCAGGTATGTGTGGCCCTGACAGACGGTCCCTCATGGAAGGACACATCCCAGGGAAGCCTCCTTGGGGTGGCTATTATCCCCACCCCGACTTGGAGCTTAACAGTATAATTCCTTCTAACTTTGGAGGCCCAACTGCCTTAGCATACTTCCTTTGGAGAAACATAGGCTCACACTAACTTTACCCTCCTGTAAATGCTCTGAAATTCTTTTTGATTGCCATATGTCAGATGTTCGTTTTAAAGCACAAAATTGTTCTTTTCATTGGAGCCTGTGAGAGCCACATCAGTATGGATTCTGCCTACTGGAAATCTGTGTATGGTGCTCATTCCCACATAGATGCCTTCCTGGCTGCCTATCTGAGTTAAATACAACCCCATAATCAGGGCCTGACACCCTGGAATGCACATATACAGGGATACTGGCAAGGGGTCACGCACAGGTCCATTCCCCTAGCAAACACGTGCTCAAACGGATATACTTTGAACACGAGATGCACAGAAATGGAAGGTAACTGTCTTGTGTCCATTAGAGTTGACGTGAAGGACCCCAGGCAGATAGCTCGAGCCCCTGTGAGTGTGGGGTAGTGGCAGCTCAGCAGAGGTGCCCTGGGCCCCAGATTCTGGTGTGGTGCCTCACCCAGGCCTACAGACATATAAGGTAGCCTTGAGCCATAAAGGACAGATAGAAATCAACTGGTGACCCAGGTCAGGGAAGGACATGAAGGCTGAAGGAGAAAAGTGTTCTTAGGAGACTCCCTGTAAAAATCTAAAAAAAGGAAAAAAAACCCAGGTCATTTGATGTCTGAGTGACTCAGTAGAGTGGATGTGATAATCCTGTCAGTACAGATATGAAGGTAACTTTCATCTGTGCGAAACTCCAAGGAATGAGGGAAGAATATCTTATCGTCCTTCTGGGTCACTATCAAAGAGAAGCACCATACCCTAAAGATGAAACAATCCAGTGCAGGCTATCTGCCCAGTTGTATGCAGTCCTGACCCTTGCCTGAACTCCTCTGGGTCCTCTTCCCAGAGTTTCTGAACTGGGAATCGAGAGTGGACCCACGTAGGATGAGTGTCACAGCCCCAGCCAGGCAGTTGGCTGGATTTCCCACTGGATCAGAAGAGACCCCAGTGCGGCATCTGGGGAAGTGGTGCCCTGAGTGCAGAGTGTCTGTTACTCTCCAGCTCTAAACAGATGGAGTGCTTGGCTTTGGAAGGAATCCACTCAACTTGCCTTTTCGATGGATGGGCTTAGGAGAGGCTCAAGCCTTGGGTTGGGTGGCTGTAGCCGGGCTCTTTGAACATAGTAAGTGGGAAGTTCCTGATTCACTTTTCCTCACTCATTAAATCGTCGTTTTAACCTTCTCTTTGGTACGTCCCGTTCCTTGGTAATGGCAGTGTGGCTAGTGCCTGTGGACATCTAGGCCACACCTGGACAAAAGAGTCCACCAAGAATCAACCAGGATGCCCTGTGGGCTCTGAATCTCTGTGCTTTGTTCTTGAAGAGAACCTTTTCAAACAACAGAAAGTAGATAGACCCATATGTCACAGTAATCTGCTTCAGAGCCTGCCGTTTCCAAGTTCCGTGCTCTGTCCCCAGTGTGGGGTATGGATGTTCCACAGGAAAGTTCCTGGATATGATATCTGACAAGGACCTGTTCTGAGGCCTCTTTCTCCTTCAATTAAGGATGACCATGTCTGTTCCTAAAATGTTCATACAAATCAATTACAACATGTTTCTTTTTCTTAGTCAAGAGCAACCTTTGTACGAAGGTGTCCACATGTGTGATGGCAAAGACGGTTCCCACGTGTTTCTCATGTAAGATGTTTGGCTGCTACGTGCGGTGTCCTTGTTGACATGCTTGGTGTGGGGCCCTTGTTTCGCTTAAGTGCCTGAATGTTTGCTGAATAGAATCAATGGAAATGAGTCATGCATGGAGCTATGGATAAACACAAGGTCCATTTATTGATAGTCCATAACTTATATTCAAGGCTGATTGCCAAAAAGAACACTGCAGAATAAAACCAATTTAAATATATAAAAGGAAGATGGAATCGTGAGACCAAGAGGCTGGATAGACACATGCCCTATCATGCCAAGGCTGGGTTTTTGTTTTCTTCAACCATACCTGGCACTTTCGCAGAAAATGCTAAGCATGCCAGAGAATTTAGCCTCAGTAGACACCTTCCTCTTGAGGGAAGTTTCCATACCACAGGACACGATTTCCCTGTTGGCAGAGGGACGTTTGGTTCCCTCCTGGTCTTCGTGCTGGAGGTAAAGGTGATGGCCTTGATTTGACCCATTCACACTGGCACTGTGTTCCAGGGAGTAAAATGTGCTCTGTCGTTGTGGGCTTCCCAAGCAACGAGTTCCTATTTACTGAGACCCAGGAACAACCTTTAGCAAAACAGCTTACAGTGGTTTGACTCATGATTTTTTAATTTAATGATGATACAGAAACAATATACATCTAGGAGAATCAACTTTGAACTTTGCCTGATCTTTTCCCAGGCTAAAAATATGCAGTCTGATTCTCTGTCAGCCATGTTGTGCAGCGGCAGCAAGCAGTAGCTCCCAGGAGCCATGAGCCCGTAACAGGAAACTCGCAGTGCTTCACAGTGTACTGTATGCTAAGCTATGTGTTCAGTGGCTGAGGCATAGTACATGCATGTTTGACTTAGACTATTTTCAACTTGTGATGAGATTATCAGGGCAGGATCCAGTCATAAGTCCAGGAGCATCTGTGGTCTCATAAACAACTTTTTTAAAAAGAGAAAAATACAAACTTACACAGAAGCCTTTCTGTATATCTTGGTTTATTTACAAAATAAATACTTTCTTTTTTCCAAATGTTTTACGCAAGCTGGGAAAAGAATTCCAGTACACATAGCTAGAATTTTCCCTGTACCTTATTATTATGCTTATATATAATGCCAATAATTTTCTTTCAAATACAGTTAATGCTACTGATAGTACAAGGAAAAATATGGCCACCCATCATCTAAAAGCAAATCTTTGGGGAAATTCAGTTAGAGTAATTTTGTAAGGAAATGTCTTCGTATCCTGGTAATATTAACTATTTAGTAGATGTAAGACAGGTTAAAAGTTAGCATCACTAGGAAATTCTTCTAACAAGTAGCTCTTAAGGCAAAAATAGCATATTCTGCCTCATGGAATCAAATCATGTCCCACTTGCTGGATTTCTCCTGCTTCTTGCTCTAAGACTAGAATCAACTCCAAGGTGAAGCCTTACCCCTATTGCCTAAAATGAGAACCTGTCTTATAAATTCTTAGAGTAGATCCCCTTTTGAAATTCTGTATCATGCATGATTCATTGTGGTTGTATCTAGTATCTACACAGCGGGGCATCCGGCCTGAGGGGTGACGGGTGCTTGGGACTTGGTGATGGACTCTTCACTTGCCTGGTTGCTTTTTGTGTCAATCTCTTGTGAGCTCTGAGCCCTGGGGCAGAATATGGCCTGGGGGACGGTGAGTTTGAGGCAGTTTCATGGTTTTGAGAAGAGAGGACAGCGTTCCATTTCAAGGACTTTCTCTTTAACTGCTTCTCCCTGTGCCAAGAAGAGAGAAACTTCATCGAAAAGAAGAGCTGAGCAGCTGCACCACCAGGACAGCCCAGTCCTGAGAGGTCACCTAAGGATGAGCCCTGCTTGGGTCTTGCGCCTGCCCTGAGCTTTGCACTGTTCAGCATGTGCACCCCAGGCCTGCAAGGAGACAGAAAACAGATGCCATTTCAGTGTTGGCGCGTGTGCCAAAGTTACGCTTAAAAATAAACGTGT